GTGAATCGTCTCGTTAGGTACCGATCCTCCTAGATCCTCCTCGGCATCGACGAATGGAGGGGAGTCCATACTATAATCGATAAATTTCTTAGGTGATTAGTTTACTTTCCTAAAAACTAATACACGAGTTCTAGACCCATTTTGGCAGCATGACGACTATTGAAAGGACAAAACGCAAAAATCAAATCCCACTCACGCTTGGGGGCTACAATACCTGCAGTTAATCCAGTAAATAGGGGCTTGTAACATCCACAAAGCCATCCTATACTAGTTTCAACCAAGGCATTCTAGATATTATTTCTATAAATCTCAAATAATCAACTATTTTAAGATGAATAATAATTATATAAACATAATTATCATCTACCATACAATTTTGAGGTTTAAACATGGAAAAAATAAGATAAAACATGTGCTTCGCGCCATTTTTTCGATTTAAAATTCTCCAAACATGATTAATGAAATTATTTGTAGGTCTAACACTATAATTTATTTCATAACTAACAAGTGTAACTAATAGCGCAATCAAGAAACAACAAATTCGAACTAAAAATCAAAGAAAAACGCACTCAAACGAAGACATGCTCATACAAAGTTCAATACTTAACCATTTTTCATGAAATTTGCTGCAAAACACTCCTTAAACATAGCATAACAACATGGAGTAAGCAATTTCACAAAAAATAAATCGAATCAAAAAAACCCCAAATTCGAAATCTAGGGTTCTTCGGTTTGAATTTCTCCAAATTTGACCAAAAAAATGAAATAAAACAATGAAATACTTACATTGGATCTTGGCAAATGCGAATATATAGAGAACAAGATTTACTTCCTTTGGCTTCGAAAAACAACAAAACCGAGCTTTGTGGAGGAAGAAAAGTCGAAAATGGTGAAGATAAAGACAGGAGAGAGAGAGAACTGAAAATCGCGCCCTTCAATCTTCTTTTTTTGACTTAAATTTCGCGCGCAACTGAGTTTGTTGCGATTGATAGCCAAGCGCATCTCAAAACCTTGTGTACGCCTAGCCAGCGTAACCCAGTGAGTTGCGCACGGATACTGGTCACTTTAAAAATCGGTATTTTGATTTCGATCCATTTTGATTTAATTCTAACGGTTTTGTGCGTTTTAAGACGTAATGACGCATGAATTATCAAAATCCTTTAAAATGTCTTTTCATTTTGTAGTTTATTTTCTTCTTTGTTTTCTTTTAGCATCATCTTGCATGCACACCGTGCTTTGTGCTGACCCTAAGCATACATTTTGTACGTTTTTCCTGAGCGTGGCTTAAAACGTTGCGTAGTGGTGCTTTACGTAAAAGCTCCTATATACTGGTTTGTTATTTTACTGTACCGACTTTCAAAATGTCATGTTTTTCGTTTGTTTTGGCGTCCACAACAAAAAGAATGGCTTATCGTACAACGTAAAATTATATGTCGTAGGTGCAGCGTAAAATTGCACCCTTTTCCCAACAACATGATCTACTTCCCATAACGAAAATGGTAGAAATTCTTTGCAAACTTTAGGCATTAGTTTTACGAGTCGACTGGCACGTCTAACCATCAAGAATAGACACTTCTCTATTGGAAACAAATACGGTAGTCAGTGAGCATACTGGCCTACCAGTCAGTTAGGGTGTCTGTCCACCCCTTGTATAAAGAGCGACGTGACTAAGTCGCACCTATTTAAACATGTGCCCCTAGTCTTGAGACGCGTGCTTACTTGTGGACAAAACTGCTGAGAGTGTTGCCGATTTTCTCCTCTCTCACTAGATTTGGATATATGCCTCTAGTCTTGAGACATGTATTTCTATCTTATGGGCCCCAAATATTTTGTTTTGGCAAGCGAGTGTCAAAACCTCTATTCACGTGTTAGGCTACAAATACCGAAATACCTCTCAATTTATCATCTTTTACTTTGTTAAAATCATGGACTATTGTCTCAATGACATATCGAGGGACTTTGGATCAACGATTCCATATTGAGAGGATATCATCCTCTTTACTCTTTTTTAAACTGATATCTTCTCATGACATGTGTAGACAACTACTTTTGGCCTCCTGTCCTGACCGGATGTGCAATGACGATAAATAAAACCATCTTCGTGTTGGTTCAAAGTGAAGAATTCTTATGGAACTGGTTAAACCACAAAACACAAAAGACTAACCCAAACTAAGAAACAAAGCCAAAAAAGTCCAATTAACTAAATCCGATCATAATTAGGCTTAAGCCCGTGCTTAAAACCCAATAATGACGGATTTAGAAGTGCCTAGGTTAAAATAAACGCTGCCGTAGAAAATAACGCGCGCAACTCGAGGAGTTGCGTTGGGCTGGTGTGCGCAACTAATTCAGTTGCGCGTGAAAGATTTAGAATTTCAAAAAAATTGGAAAATCGAATCTTGGCATAAAGCCGCGCGCAAGACATTAGTTACGTTGCCTATAGCAGTGCAACTAAATCACTTGCGCTGGGTTGCCGCGCGCAACTCATCCAGTTGCGCGTGACACCTGCTGCGGCAGAATGTTCAAAACCCTAAACCTACCCATTCCCTATAAAAAGAGGCTTAATCCGAGGCTTAAACACACAGAAATTAACCCGAAACGGCAGAAAACTTGTGAACTTGTGCTACCTAACCCCTCTTGTCCTAAACACTCACCCCTCTGATATTTTGTTACTATGGTGGAGGTTCCCAAACAAGAAGGAGTCCATAGGTGTTCTAAACGGAGATCTAGCAAAGAGAAGTGGTAAATTCCCAAGCACTTAGATACATCACTTTTATTTTCTTGTTTAAAAGAACTTTAATCAATTAATTAGTGTTGCTTGATCACTTTAAAAGGTTTAATAAATCAATTCCACATAGAATCTTGCGTTAAATAAGATTAGAATTGAATAACTAATTGTTGGTTGATCACTTAAACCAAGGCGAATATTGTTTATTTCTTGTCCTATTCACGAATTTGATTAAATAAAGAATAACGACTTTGTAATGTAATTCCTAGGTGAATTGATGTGTGTAAATAAAATCAACTAACTTAGTTTTAGGTATCACGTTGCATATATTGTTTGGTGATGAAATTGTAAAAAAGGAAGAACTAGTAGAGGTCATACTAGGGCTAGGATAGCGATTCGCCCCTAAAGGGAACGTTATTTTATTACCCTCACTCCCAAACTCATTTCTGGTTTATGTAGACCAATTTGGGCATGGATAAACTTACGATTCGTACTAATTATCCCTTGAACTCTACTTGGGAGAAAGGCATGAACAAGGTTTATGAGTTTTCCTAAAACTCATTGGTGACTCCTACTTGTTTCTCACAAAAAAGCGTGATGAGAGTATCATTTCTAATTCAAGGTCTCCCAAACAGTTAGGAAATTCAAATCCTAATACACCCTAACAAGTGTAAAGTCCTAGGCTTTTAAAGGATCATGGGCATCTAAGGAGAAGGATCCCCTACAATGGGAACACCCTCCTTACAACATGACATCATCCAGGACAACCTGTACTTGTAAAAGCGTTCTACACTTGCAAAGGATCAATCTAGATTCTTTCACGCGTTTTAGACTAGAGAAGAATTTTTTTCTAGCCTTAACAGCTACTTGTCTCGTACACTTAGCGAATCGAGGATAGTTTCGCCATCCTCAACACTGTTGAAAGATTCCTTATTCTTAGGGACTTTGCCGAACGATTCTCAAATTTATTTCCTTGGCTACTTTGATCCTCGTTTATTCTAGACTGGAACAAAGTAGGGGCTAACTGTAGACATCTACTTTTGGCCTTTGGTCCCAATCGGATGTGCTATGACGATAAATAGAACCATCTTCATGTTTGATCAACGTGAGGAATACTTATGGACTGTTGATTAAGTCACAAAAATACAAAATGACTAGCCTAACCCGAGAGAAAATGAACTAAAGTCTAAGTAACTAAGTCCAATAAATAATTAGGCCTAAATCCGGAGTTAAAACCTAATTTTGACGGATTTAGGGGCGCCTAGGTTAAAAACCAAAGCCGCCATAGGAAAATCACAAGGTTACGCGTGGCACGCATGTAATACCCCTAAATCTCCCTCAACGAAATACCAGTATAATACGTATAATTATACCATAGAGATAGACTTAGGCGTATTACCGCCGTGTGATTACGCAAGGCTACTCAAACTTACCAAATAAACCAATACTTTGCAGCGAAAACTTCAAAAATATTTTTATTTAATAATAGACTAAAAATAGTAACCAATGTCATGAGTACTCAAAATTAAATGCAAGACCAAATATTCCTAATTTAGTTGAAACCAATCCCGAGACTCCAATGCATCAATTATTGCATCCACAAATAAGAAGTACGGGTTAGCAAACTATGCTAAGTACGATAAGTGCAAGATAATTAAACTCAATTTATTTGCAAACATGCTTTTGAAATCAATTCCAATAATTAATCCGATAATTCCAAACTCATGATTCAAAACCGATTTTCAATATTCTAATATCAATAATCAATAAAACCAATACCAATTATTTTAAAACTAATTCCTCATAATAAAACCAATTCCTCTCCCAAGTGTTCACACCCCTAAGCTAGTATCCTTATGTTACAAGACTATTCTTGAGGAAAGACCCGGTCATACAAATTCAAAGGCCTTATCAATAAACCAAATCCGCATAGTGGGATTACCAACATGCTAATAAAGCATAAATAATCAATTTAAATTCAATAATTCAATAAATCCTCTTTTAAATCCAATAGTTCAAACTCTTTTATTAAATTCAACATGCTTTCAATATCAAACCTTTTTAAAACATGGATAATAATTTTAATCATTCAAAACATGATATAAAATCATTGCCTCAATTTAATTATTAAAACCAATCATTTAAACATACTTTTATTTCATAAGTCATAATTCAATTCAACTTAATTCAAACATCACAAAATCATTCAAACATGCTTATTCAAACATGATATAAAATCATTGTCTTCAATCTAAGATCCTGATGAGTTAAGCATTAATGCAGTGATCTTGCTAGAAACTATGTTCATGGAACGATCCCTAAAACTCTATCGAAGATTCCACTTGTTACTTTGTAAGTATGACACATTCTAACTATATTGAATTTGCCTGGTGATTTTTGTAACAAATTTGTAACTGTTTGTGCTCAATCTCTATTGTTTAAAGACAACCACCATAAGAATATACTGTTCATGGTTGTATCTGAATTCTTTTTTCTTTGCAGATCACTTGTGGTGAACCGGATGACTGGTCCCATTCCGAAAGAAATTGGTCAAATTTCAACCCTGGAGGAGTTGTAAATATTTTTAACTGACTGTTCCTATGCCGTTGATGTTGGCTATCAATAGTCCTGATTTGATCCTTTATCTGTTTTTACATGGATTTACTCAGAATGTTGGAAGATAACCGACTAGGAGGTCCATTGCCTAAGAGCCTTGGAAATTTGAAAAGCTTGAGAAGAATGTGAGTTCATTTTCTTCAAAGCATTTTAGTCATTGGAATGTTTTTTTTACTAGAAATGAACCCATATCATATTTAACTTGGTTGGTTATGTGCAAAATGTTACTCCCTCTGTTTTTAAATACTTGCTCCATTTCTCCATGCACGGAGTCTTAGGAGAAATTGGAGAAAGTAATAAAATATTGAGGTAGTGAGGTTGGTGGAAGAATTAAAAATTGTAAAAAAACCAAAAGTAGTGGAGAGAATTGAAGGAGAAAGAATATGGAATTAATATTGTTGGGTCCACTTGGTAAGAGAAATTAATTAAATATTGTAAAAGCTTTTCAAATAAGGAAATGGAGCAACTATTTTAAAACGGCCGGAAAAAGAAACAGGATCAAGTATTTAAAAACAGAGGGAGTACATTTTATTAATTACGAGTAGTATTGAATTCTAGCCACCTAATGTACCTTGATCCTCGCTTAGCCAAAAACACTTCAAAAGAACCCTCAAGTAGCTTGATCAAAAACACCCTACAAATAAATATAACCTTAATTAATACTTCCTCCGTTATGTTAATATAACCTTAATTAATCACTATTCATCACTCTTGTTTGACCATATAATATGATTTATACGTCAAGCAAAATATAGTCATGTGGGATCTTGTTGGATTTGTCTCATAAAATACTTTCACAATATCAACTTTTTATAATTTTTACTCTTACACAATTATAGATGTTTAGCATATAAAATGTGCATAGGGATGCGTAATTTCCTTCTTGTTGCAATATTAATAGAACAGAGGAAGTATAATGTTAACAAATAATCACAAATAATCAAATTAAAACCTCCCAACTATATGTACATGAACTTTTTGAATTAATTCAACATAAACAATACTAAAATCTGATTTTATATAATGAAAGCTACTCATAATAATTTTTATATAAAGCTCCCATAATAATAATAATAATTGAATAAGAGAATAAGAAACCAAGGAGGAGTGGAAGGAGGCGGTGTTGGCAAGGGTGGTTGCTGGTGGTGGCAGCAGGTGGTGCCGGTGGTGGAAGATGGTGCATGGTGGTGGTGGTTGGCGCAAGAAGAAAAGAAAGAGAACAAGAAATTAATTAGAGAATTTGAGAGAGAATTATGAGAATTTTGTATGAGGTTTGATCATGAATCAAAGGGGTATTTATAGGCTAGTATGAGCATGAATTATGGTAGGAAAATGTAGGAAAAATTATGGTAAGTAGGGTTTAAGGGATTACTTGGAGAAGTGAGTAAAAGAATTAAGGAAAGTTTTGATATTAAGGTGATTGTGTATAATTGAATATGGACGGTATGTATGTCATGAAAAATATTAAGGAAATTGGAATTACTTGGGGGGTGATTGTGTATAATTGAATATGGAAGGTATGTATGTCATGAAAAATATTAAGGAAATTGGAATTACTTGGGGAATAATTAAGAAGAATGAATGGCAAGAAAATATGATGATTAGATATTTAAAAGATGTAGAATTAGAATTAAGAAAATAAGAGATTTTGGGAGATAATTAAAAATATAATTTTACCAAATAAATTCCCCCAAAATAATTCACGAGGGCCGAAAATATTGAGCTTACCATATCATTGCTCAAATTTTCGGATTCCTCTAGATGTATTTAGGAAGATTTTGCTCGATTTTTAAGGAATAAAATAATTGTATAAAAATATAGAATAAATAAATAATTAATTAATTAAATACCAATAAATAACCAATAAAAATCAGATTTTCCATTCATGGAAAATCCGAAATCCTAGCTAGTTATTAGGAAATTTTGGCCATAATAATTAATTAATTAAAATATTATTTTTGCTTTAATAAAAATATTAGAAATATGTAAATAATATAATCCGGTTTTTATAATAAGATAAATGGATAATAAATCTTATCCAAAATAATGATTAGTTTTCAAAATACTTTTGGCGCCAAAATTCATATATTACTTTGGCTCCAAATAATAAATTTACTAAAATACCCTTTTTAAAAATTAATTCCTAATTAATTGATTAGGAAAATACGGGGTATTATAACGCAGCGCAACCTCCAGTGATGCGCTCATGGGAGATTTAGAATTTAACGAACACACTGAATCGAATCTTACCATAATACCACGCGCATGAACATTAGTTGTGCTGCAAGGGGCAGCGCATCCAAACTACTTCCGCACAGGCGTGTGTGACCCTCTGTGATGTGCGCGCCACCTGTAGCGACAAAATGCTCAAAACCCTAAACGCATCCATTCCCTATAAACAGGGGCTTAATACGAAGCTTAAACACATAGAAATTAACCTGAAAAAACTAGCAGGAACTTTTGTGAACATGTGTACTATCAACCTTCTTGTCCTAAACACTCACCCCTCTTATTACTTGTCCTTACGGTGGAGGTTCTCAAACAAGAAGGAGTCCATAAGGGTTTTAAACGAAGATCTAGCAAAGAAAAGTGGTTAGTTTCCCGAACACTTAGATAAATTACCTTTCTTTTTATTGTTTAAATAACTTTAAATCAATTATTTAGTGTTGTTTGAACACTTTAAATAAACTTTTAATTTATTTATTTCACATAGCATTCTTGCGTTATTCAATGATTAGAATTGGAATAATTAATTGTTGTTTTATCACCTAAGCAAAGGCGAATCTTGTTTATTTATTGTTCCTTTTCACGAATTTGAATTAAATAAAGAATAACGACTTTGCAATGTAAGTCCTACGTGATTAATGCTTGTAAATAAAATCAACTAACTTAGTTTTAGGTATCATGTGCATATATTGTTTGGTGATGAAATTGTGAAAAAGGAAGAGTTAGTAGAGGCTGCACTAGGGCTAGAATAGCGATTGCCCCCTAAAGGAAGCGTTATTTTAGTACCCTTGCTCCCGAACTCATTTCTGGTACAAGTAGACCAATTTGGGAATGGGTAAACTTATGATCCGTGCTAAATATCCCTTGAACTCCACTTGGGAGAAAGGCATGAACGAAGTTTATGAGTTTTCAAAAAAACTCATTGGCGATTCCTTACTAGTTTCTTACAAAAATGCGTAATGATAAGATGAACTCTAATTCAAGTTCCCCAAACAGTCAGGAATTCAAATCCTAATACACCATAACAAGTGTATAGTCCTAGGCTTTTAAAGGGCCATGAGTATAAAGGAGAAGGATCCCCTACAATAGGCATACCCTCCTTACATTGGTGCACCTAATTCTGTGCACCATGGCGTATATAATTACTATTGATACTAATATGGGACAACTTTATGTATATTAAGATAATGGTGGCACGGAGATGAATAAGGCCCTAATAAGAAATATTTGAGGGTGTAGGGTCTTCTAACTACAGCAGTACAACCCCATGCAAAACGATGTCGTTTGATTCCACTCCTCCACTAACCACTGACCTCTAACCTTCATTAATCTCAGTAAGTTGTTTAGTGGATTGCTATATACCGCCGGCATTTTTTTTATTAAAATTCCAATAAAAGTAATGTGGGGATAAAATTAGCCTTATTCATCCGCACTTTACTTTCTCTCTCCTAAGTCCATTATGTCTCAAACCCAATAGTTAACCACCACAAAGCAACCACCATTGCCGCCACTACGACACTACCATGCCACCACAACAACAACGACCACCACCACCCACTGCACCATCACTTCCCACAACTACCACCACCCACTGCACCATCACCGCCCACAACAACCAAGAGGGAAGGTATCAGAATTTTTTGTGTTTCCAAACCACTAATAGCTACAGCAGGTCAGCATTCATCAACCATTAGGAAAACGACGACCCACCACCATCCCTTGTTGTATGGGAAGGTGGATTTTTAAATTCCGGCACCAGCACAATCGGCACTCAAAATCGGTCATCTAGGACGGTAATCGGTTTCCAAAGCCGGTTGACCACCGTGATCGGCGTCCAAAACCGTTTACCGTCCCAAGTGACCGGTTTTACACGCCGATTGACCATGGTTGACCGGCATGCAAAACCGATTACCGTGGTGTTTAATCGGTTTTGGGTGAGGCTCTACTTCATATCAACACAAGTAGCTGCGCATACATAAACAGTAGCTCATGAAGACAAGTATTTCTTAAAGAAGTGATTTATTAGGTGTATAAATAAGTTTATATCCAAAAGATGTATAAAAAATCTGGCTGCTCTTAATAATTTCTATTTGGGTCCAATTTAGTTCAATTGGGTCCAGTCCATAAATAATCCAATTAAAAGCCCAAGGTTCAAGGTTTAACTCTCCCATTGTGCTAAAGTCAAGGTCAGTCAACATGGCAAGCCCATTTGACCGAGGCCCACTTCTCCAAGTTATGCAAAGGTATAAAAGCCATCAATTGTACTACTTTACATTCATTCACATATAGCCTCAAGCAATTAATTCTCTTGCATAGTCATTTCTCTCCACACATTGTACTGACTTTAGCATTAAAGGGGCCTTCCTCGGCAACTCCCCCGAGGCTAGTTGACGTGTATTAGTTGTGTAGGAAACCCTCGGCCCAACATCACTTGGACCGAGCCTAGTCTTCACCACCTCTCAAGGACCTTCGGCAAGGTCCCATTATTTTCACCTGAAACAATCTATAATTCATTATAACAATAAACATATTTTTGCTTGTTCATGTTTTGTCAGAATGTTACTATTGTACTTCAACAAGGGAATTTTTAGTTGACTTGAACATTTTGAACACAATCAACGCCCAAATTGGGTTGCTATCTAAATTAGTATATAAGGGTTTTTGTTGAGAATTTCTAAAGCAATTGTGTTGCTTATTCCAATTCAATGTTTCAGTCCATAAATAAGTATCAATCATTTTATCGTCGACTATGAACACCAGGCATTTTCTTAAAACAAATTGGAGGTAAACACCACTGTTATACCAATTCATTACCTCTGATCGCCGCCGCCTCCAGGTCCGACGCTTTTTTCTTCTCCGACGTACAGCTGCTGTTGTGGTGGGAAGTGCTTGTTGTGGCCCTTGTGGGTGATGAGAGAGAATA